TTTTTTATTTCCGAATGCAAATCAGCATATAGGTTAATTGATACATAGAATACAAAACATATTTCAAATTTTCAAGATGGCGGAGGACAATTCCATATAAGCAATTATCACATAAAAAGAATACATCATTTAGCAATATTACTACACGAGGGTTTTTCTTTTGGCGGTAGCATATTTTAAATACAGACCCAATCTACGTAATGTTTTAATACTTTTACATGACAATAATTCAATTAATTTATACACACTGGGGCATCGGAAGTAATATTGCTTAATGTATGTGTTTCTCAATACAGAGTAAGCAGGACAAATAAGAATAAAATGTATCTCATCTTCTAAATCATTTTTGTCACAGGCAAAACATAATCTTTGACCTCTCGGAACCCCATTATAGCGTCCAGATTCGATATTAAGGGAATGCGCCTGCATGCGATATTGACACCAAAAGGTGAGATTTGGTGTCAGTTTGAGAACGACAGGATTTAATTACAGGTAAACTATAGTCTGTACTATAAAGTGTCTTACCATATGATTTCTGGTGTTCAGTTTTATTTATTTATGATATTGTTTCCACTTCATCTATCAAAGACTTCATAATAATAGTGCATTTCAGATTAAATGTCCTAACTTTGCATATTATTTCTCTGGTCAAGGTTGTAGTCTCAGTATACCTTTTTTTTTAATTAATTGGTCATGTAAGCTAGTTTTCAATGCATGATTCAAAAATAAGTAGGGGCCCCAAAGGGGAACTTTGCTAAATTTGCTTTAAAACACCTCTCCTCCTCAACACCAGAGAGGATTTCAACCAAATTCAGTCTGAAGCATCACTAGGGGAGGGCAATCATTTCCTAAATAAATGAGGTTGGTTCGACCCCTGAGGCCAGGAGGGCGGGGCCCTGAAGAGGAATCCGCTTAATTTGCTTTAAAACGCATCTCCTCCTAAACGCCAGAGAGGATTTCAACCAAATTTAGCCTGAAGCGTCAGTAGGGATGGGCAATCATTTCTTAAATAAATGAGGTTGGTTTGACCCCTGAGGCCAGGGGGTCGGGGCCCTGAAGGGGAACTTAGTTAAATTTGCTTTAAAACGCATCTCCTCCTAAACGCAAAAGAGGATTTCAACCAAATTCAGTCCGAAGCATCAGTAGGGATGGGCAATCATTTCTTAAATAAATGAGGTTGGTTCGACCCCTGAGGCTAGGAGGGCGGGGCCCTGAAGAGGAATCAGCTTAATTTGCTTTAAAACGCATCTCCTCCTAAACACCAGAGAGGATTTC